ATATATATTTGGCTATTAAACAACTCAGGGCCACTAAGCAGAGTTTCTAAGTTGAATGGCTTAATCATATGCCTAATGAAGAGAAAAATAGTTATGCAACCTGTTTGTGTAAAACTAAGGCAAAGAGTTAGGCATTGTTTATAAGATGCATGACCCGATTCAATGCTCTATGTAAGACGGGGTAGAGGGTTAATCATCTGAAGGTTCAACCAACTACTTGCATGAAGGACAACTTGGGATTGGTGAGAGACTTACTTTGGTTGCATGTGTTTGTGTGATTGTAACTCTAGTTTGATAAGTTTCTGATAGGTAGTTGCTTTAGATACTCACCATGTGTTGGAGCTATGGGAGTTAGCTCAATTTTTGCATCTTGAGAGTTAAGTTTATTTCTCATATTTGGCTTTGTATAAATTTTGGAAAGACACTTTCGCTAAGGGAAGTGCTGCCCAAAGTTTTACAAATCCAAGGAGTTAGTCAAGTTTTCGTCCTTACAAAGTCCAACTTCTGTTTGAGTTTTGTATCTCATGTAGTAGAAATATTGAAAACCTACTTTTCGAAAGGGAGAGCTGGCCAAAGTTTTGCTAAATCAAGGAGATGTACAACATTTGACTTTGTGAAATTAAAATTGTCCTTAGATTTTGTATCGAGTTTTGTACAAATTTTGGAAAGGCACTTTTTCTAAGGTAAGTGCTGCCGAAATTTCTCAAATCTAAAGAGTTGGTTAAATTTTGTTTTAGCAGAGTTTACGTTCTGTCTTCAAAATTCATATGTGACTTAGTATATTTCTCGAAAGTTGGTTAAATTTTGTTTTAGCAGAGTTTACGTTCTGTCTTCAAAATTCAAATGTGACTTAGTATATTTCTCGAAAGTTAAGTTAAAGTTTTGTCTTCAAAATTCATATCTGATGCTTACTTCTCTAAAGGAGATGCTGCCCAATTTTTTACTAATTCAGAGAGTAGGGCAAAATTTGACTCTGTAGAGCTAATAATAATTTTCATATTTCATTTTTTACTAAGTTTTGAAAAGGCGTTTTCTGTAGAGGGGGTGTTGTCGAAATTTTACTAGTTTTGAGGAATTAGATTATATATTGACTGGAAAACTTTTGGCGATCCACCCTGAACAGGGGAGATACTATCGAAATTTTCCTATTTTTTTAAGACACCCATTGAGAGGTAAATTTAGACTTGTCTTAGGAGAAATTGAGTGAAATATGATATTGGGAATTGTCTTGTGTTGTGTAATAGATCTTCTTTGGTAATTTCGACTTAAGATCTGACTAGTTTCAGTCTGATTCTACGATGATCATCTTCTGTTATCATTAGTAATAGGTTGGTTATACAGTCCATGATTCACAACTTAGGGTTGGCTATCCTCCTAGTATGTAGCTTAGGGCTTGAGGCTGGCATAGCAGTTCCTTAGTATGGGATGTCGGGGGTGTAGGAGATACTGCACCTTACTGTGGGGCCGGAACGGGCTCCAGGGATATACGATGGAACAAAGGATCCCCAACTCTCTACTGTCACTATCAACGATTCTCCAAGAGTCAATACACACAGTCCATGATGCAGTCCATGATTCACGACCTAGGGTTGGATATCCTCCTAGTACGTAGCTTCGGGCTTGAGGCTGGCATAGCAGTTCCTTAGTACGGGATGTCGGGGGTGTCAGGAGATACTGCTTCTTACCGTGGGGCCGAAACTTGCTCCACGGATATACGATGGAACAGAGGATTCCCAACTCTCTACCATCAACACAATAGAACACTGCAATACACATATGACTCAGGGTTGGCTATCCTCCTAGTACGTAGCGTAGGGTTGAGGTTGGCATTGCAGTTCCTTAGGACGGGATGCCGGGGGTGCTAGGAGATACTGCACTTTACCGCGGGCCCGGAACGGGCTCCAGGGATATACGAGGGAACAAAGTATCCCCAACTCTTTGCCATAAAAAAAAACAAACAAACCCACACAATAACAGTAATACAACGTAACACTGTGCACCCTTATGAAAACATGTAGTAGCATGTTCATACCTAGCTCCCGAAGTCCTCGTGCAATAGGGCTTGCACGACATCTGCTTCAACCAGGGCTGAGCAGGGGGTAGGTCTCTTGCCTAGCCCGGGTGCCTACGGCCGCTGTTTGGTCAGATCACCCTGCCAATACGACAATGGGTGATTGTCCCGGGTGGTTAACAATAGGGTAGGACAGATGGGGTGGGGGTGCGCCAGGGCAAAAATTGATAAGGGGAAGGGTGGGTGGGGTCTTCAGAGGGATTCAACTGGACAACTGAGTGGCCGAGTGTTGTGGATAGTTGTCATTGGTCTAATATGCCACCTCTACAAGAACCTGGGCTTTCTAAAAAATTAAAAAAAAGGTTGGTTGCCGATTTGTTGGTTTCTTGCTCAACTCTAACACATTCTCGCTACTCAACCTAAGGCCTTAGCCCTTGGGGGTTAAAATGTTTCTTTGGTTTTTTACCCAGACTTTTATTAAATGGTCGTTTAAAAAAAAAGGACTGAGTGTTTTCGTTTGGAAGGTTGGACGAAGGTTGGGGCTTGCGTGGATAAGGCAAGGGGTATGAGTGCAGTAGGTGGTTGAAGTTGACCCCGTGTAGTGCGTGATCAGTCGATGTTGAATCTTTGATGTGATTGTAAGTATGTTTTGTGAGTTGAAGTCGGAATTGACTTTGCCTGAGATCATGTGTATATTTTAAAAGGAGTCACACTGTCATTGTGAGAGTGATCACCTGGTGTCCTATGACCCCATCGTATTTATATTTTGTGCATCCGCGCGGTCTACTGTAGCTATGGGTAAAGATCGAGCAGATTTGTATGGAGAGAAAAGGGAGATCCCTTTTTACCCTTGCTTTTTTAGAATTTTTATAGTTGGACGTTAAGGTCCGTGGCAATTGTCAAAGTCAAACCCCTTGACTTGTTTCCAAACCTCCAATGATATCCTAGGGTTAGAGGCATTTCGCCGCCACAAAAGGGCGAAGCCTGCCTACCACCCCTCTTCGCAGTGTGCAGAAGAGGGCAGGTCTTGCAATCGCACTTGCGGTTGTCTAGCGTCGAGAGATTAACCTCTCAAAACGCGTGGCAGGGCTGCATGATTATGGGTACCACATAGTAGACTATCCTCACAACTGCTTGCGTAAATAATGCATGGCGGATCGATATGACAAGACCTAGGTTGCTGTGACATTTATTCAGAATCTCACGCTCGACGCTCATCTATCGTTTGTTGTCAAAAGGTTATGGTTTGGATACGAAAAAGGGATTAGGCGTGACTTATGTGTGAAACTTGGTTTTATTCTTGTGAAGTGCATCATGTGGTTAGATGGGCCGTCGTTGTCGACCGGCGCAGGGGCGCGTTTGGGAAATCAGCCCCAACAGCGACGGATCGCGTACAGGTCCGATTAAGGCGTTTGATTGCGTGTACCCCCTATGCTACAATGTACGAGAAACGCCCTTGGCTGGGCCACCTCTGCGATTGCACTCGAGCAGCTTGCACATGTGGTTCGGTAGCTCGGCGGGGATACACTTGTCCAAGGGTGGTGACAGTCCCTTGGGTAGAGGTATGTTGTGCCTCCCGTAGCCCCTATCCTGTCGTAGGGGTTCGCGAGAGGTGAGGCTGGCGCACTCGGCTGGAGCTGCCAAAGCTCCCTTGCGGTAAAAGTCCTGCAAAATCCTGCGTGACACGGCCGGGAGGGTCCCCCTGCGGGACCGATGCGCTCGACACCGGTCTCCGATAAAGCACAATCCTGCATGCTAAACCTCAAACAGGGCCTCATGATGTCAGCGCCAATCATTCAAGGGCCCTTGATAGGCCATTGCTAGCGCCAGCGTCTCCCCAAGGTAAGGTATGGCTGGTGCTCACCTGTCCAGTGTAGGTGGCAAGGCAGCTGGCCACCTTCCTCCACTTTAGGCAGGCAGCACCGACACCCACAACGCTGGACCTCAAACAGTTCTCCTTTGCACCGGTTTAAATCAATCAAGGGCTCTTGGCAGGGCAGTATTGGCCTCTCCCTCCAATCATCTCGCTCACGATGATATGACCCACAACAATCCGGCCCAGAATAATCTGGTGCATGCTCATCTCTGCGACGTTGCTGGCAGTGACCGGTATGATTGCCAAGCGATTTCTTCGCCCACAAACCAGGTCTCCTTCATGTAGCACTCCTCCCGAATTGCTGAAATATCCATTTGGTCAAGTCTGAAAATGAGCAAGTACACTAATAATATTCAAAATAAGAAGGACAAGATTGCAAAAGACATAGACTTGCAGAATTCACATTACGGCACCACTCCCTACAATCATCTCGCTCACGATGATATGACCCACAACAATCTGGCCCAGAATAATCTGGTGCATGCTCATCTCTGCGACCTTGCTGGCAGTGACAGGTATGATTGCCAAGCGATTTCTTCGCCCACAAACCCGGTCTCCTTCATGTAGCACTCCTCCCGAATTGCTGAAATATCCATTTGCTCAATTCTGAAAATGAACAAGTACACAAACAATATTCAAAATAAGAAGGACAAGATTGCAAAACACAGACTTGCAGAATTTACATTACGACACCACTCACTGGTTGCTGCATAAGTAGGGTTTGAGCTTGAAGCATTGTTGTGAATAGGACTGTGGGGGGAGAATGTTTGTGAAGGATGTGAGTGGAAAGTTGGAAACCCTTACAATATAGACTGTCGATTGGTGTGTGGGCGAGAATAATCAGACGGTAACAATTGCTTGCTACAACTAGCCAAACACATGGATCAGGTATTTTCCTGTTTGAGTTTCAACCTGTTCTTCTTTGTCACTTGCTCCGTGCAGGCAGGCTCCGCAACTTCAGTTTTCAAGCTTTGGAAAGGTGAGGTCTGATCACCCACTTCAACTTCCCTTGGTTAATTTCGGGGCGATGACATGCCCCTGTCTGCTGCTGCTTCCTCAAGGAGGTTCGTGCTGTTTGACAGAACCAATGGGATCTCTCATGCAGTTTTCCCTGGGGTTAGTTATCATTCATGTCAGATGTGTGGCAAGGAACTGCTATAGCCATGGCACATTGTGGTCCAAGTAGAGTTTTCTCTGTCTCTGTCTCTGTCTCTGTCTCTGTCTCTGTCTCTGTCTCTGTGTCTGTGTCTGTCTCTGTCTCTGTCTGTGTCTGTGTCTGTGTCTCTGTCTCTGTCTCTTTCTCTGTCTCTGTCTGTGTCTCTGTCTGTGTCCCTGTCTGTGTCTCTGTCTGTGTCTCTGTCTCTCTGTCTCTGTCTCTCTGTCTCTGTCTCTCTGTCTCTGTCTCTGTCTCTCTGTCTCTGTTCCGTCTCTCTGTCTCTGTTTCGTGTCTCTGTCTCTGTCTCTGTCTCTGTCTCTGTCTCCGTCTTCGTCTCCGTCTCCGTCTCCGTCTCCGTCTCCGTCTCCGTCTCCGTCTCCGTCTCCGTCTCCGTCTCCGTCAGTCTTTTGTCTCTCTGTCTGGCTGTCTCTCTCGGTGTCACCACAGCAGCACCTGTTCTACCCAGATGCATAGAAATTGTAATTGGAACATTCTCTCTGTGCATGTGTGTTGAAATGATTGGGATGTTTTTGCTGAAACGGCTGTTTCATTGCTGCAACTTTGAATGGTGCAAGGCGAGGCACGGTTATGTTTGTGTTGCTGAGACTAGGTGCCCATACGCCTGTCCACATTTTGGCACGGTTGCACTCCGTATGTAGTCTGTTCTGTTTGCGATACTCGTTCCTTTGCATATAGCAGTTGTGTTCGGGGGAGAGGGGAGAAAGGAGTAAGAGAGGGGGGAGAGAGAAAAGGGATCCTGAATGCTCACCTGTACAACAGACTGGCATGAAGGGCAGGGTCACACCAGACTGGGATGAAGGGCAGGGTCACTGAAGGGTCAGGTTGCACAGAACAATGAATGGAGAAAGAGTATCGCCTCTGATGAATTGCCACCTTGCCAACAGATTTGGCAAGACCAGTGGGTGTGACCTTTGGAAGCACCTCATTGAATCTGTACGGGTTGCAGCCACCTTTTCGGATAGCGTGGCACAGACAGACACTCATAGGCCATCTTCCATATGCCAAGAACAGAGAGTCGGGCAATCACACTTATATAGTCACTGCAAGACCGGCATCATGCTACAGAGAGGATGTGCCTTAAGAGGGTGCTGTGGATGAGTACTCAGGAGACTACAGGTACCATACCCTCATGAGTTTGGAGACAAAGACGCACGTGGACATGACACAGGGAATGCTGATTACATGGTAACTGAACATCAGGAGGGTCATTGAAGAGTGGCAGTGAGCAGAGACTTTCTTGTCCTCGTATTCGTGGCACCCATGTAGCCTGTCTGTGGACAGGTGATAAGGGGTTGGATCCACTGTAAGGATGTTTAGCTGTTGCAAAATCTGTTCTGCCACTGCGTGTGTGTGTGTGTGTGTGTGTGTGTGTGTGTGTGTGTGTGTGTGTGTGTGACACTGTGTGCGTGTGTGTTTAAAACAAACCCAAATTCTCTCTCTCATTCCATCCAAGAAGCATCACAAAGCATTTATAAAACAAAAAAAATAGAGAGACAGTATAGTAGAAGATGCAAGGTTGACCACGTTTGTGTGGTTCAGTGCCAAGTGCCCACACACCTGCCTGCCGCTTAAGCGGCACACTCGCACATATACATATATACATATTCTCCGGTCAGGTCGAGCTGCAGTGGTCGGGGCCGTCAGTAGGCGGCCATGCTGTGCCTCTAGTGCCAGTGGCGTGTCTGGAGTTTATTTTTTGGCTGTGACAGACCTTTCTTTGTTTCATGGGTGTTTTGCTGGCTTGTGATGGGGTGTGAACCGACAGTCTGTGGAGTTTTCCATCTGGTGTGGGTGAGTGATAGTCTGCTTTGATTTTCGTCACAGGTACCTTGAGGGCAGTGGTTGGTGCCCACCTCAGGGTATCAGTCGGGCAGTCGTTGATGCTTAACCACAGCCAGGGTTAAGGTGGATTATCGCTTACAGTGTAATAAGTTAGGGGATTCTGCAGACTGTTGAGGGTTCAGCCTCCTGATGAGTCGGTGAAACTCCGACGAAACAGTTTGTCACAGCCCCTCGTTTGTTGTCCTTTTCTCCCTCTCTGCCTACAGTTCACCGGGAAGCTCTGTTTGACGATATATTTTCATAATCCATAAAGGGATGCTTCCCCTATTCCACCCAGATGAGTAAATCCAAAGTCGTATCAACTTTACCTGTATTGCAGACAATGAAGCATGCTCAAGATGAGCCAATCCACCAATCATATCAACTTTACCTGTATTGCAGACGATGAAGCATGCTCAAGATGAGCCAATCCACCAATGAAACAGTTTTGCTTGTGAAGTCAATATCTATTCAGAACCTTTGCTTGTGAAGTCAATATCTATTCAGAACCTTACCTTTAAACAAGCAAGGAGTCTCACCTTTAGACAAGCAATGCAACACACTTGAGATGGGCCAACCTGACAGTAAAAACAATATGAGACACATAAATCGTTTTCTTAATTATATTTTCATCAGCTAGCATTGGGAGGCCTCCCATTTTATTTGTTTTTGCAGTTACCTTCTTACTGTGCCTATCACATACAGGGCTGGCCATGTTGATGATGGTTGAGCGCCAGCTGCCCACATCCCCGTGTGCCTTTACGACCCACTTGCACGTTATAAAAGGAGGCAGCGTAAAAGGGTGATTATATTGGTGTGTGTGTGTGTGTGTGTGCAAATGAATTGTAAGCTATCGTGTTGGCTGACTTGGTGCTTATTGGAACCACTGTCAGCAGTACTTCTAGTCCCCCCTCTGTGAAACCGTGGTGCCCAAGGAACTGTCCTTCGACGAGTAAAGATAAAACCATAGGCTGTCAAGTTGGTTGCCTTGGCCCAGATCGTAAGGCAAAACCACCAAGACTTCTGGTGTTACCTCTGACAAGCCCAGAGGGGTGTTCAATGATTGAGAAGGTTGACCTCATGCTTATTATTCTGGCGTGTGCAGAACGATTTGGTGCTGAACATGAAGGAGAAATCGTCAGGCGCTGTACCAGTTGTTGTTGACCCGGTATGCATTGGCATTTCTTTGCTCTCAACTGAGAGTTCCTGTTGAATTCAGTTCTTAGTAAGGTTCTTGCTGTGCCTTTTGCTCACTTATTTGGCAGGACATATTATTATCATCGTTCTTTTTTTGCCTTTTTCTTTTTTCTTTCTTAACAGATCTTTATGTAGGACAGATTATCATCTAATTGTCTTCATGTGTCAATGAAATACTGTTGTGGTTGGTGGGCAGGTTAAATCCTTGAGAGCCGCAGTTCCATATTTCTGTCGTTCGTGGACCGGTTTGCATTGTTGAAGTACAATTGTGGTTGTTCTCTGGGTCCACAGTGGCTGGTCAGTCTTTTCTCTCCGTTTACAGGTGTTGATAGGTAAATGAAATGACTGCAGCCATTTTCCAACCGAAGGCAAATGTTGGCAGGAACCAGGCTTGATGCAGCGCCATGGTTACTTGAACATATTTCTGCTGTGATGTGCGAGTGCTCTGTCTGGTGGCTTCGCCAGGCACGTTGCCCTCCTTCTCAACTACAGGCGTGGCCTGAAGACCCTTATATCAATTTGGTGACTTTTGACTATCTTTTTTTTTCCCCTTCTCAGAGGAGAAGACACATGCATGCTCTCATCTTGGCTGCTCCTGGTCATCATTTGCCGAATAGCAGCATGCCGAAATCTGGGAGAAGAGGGATGTAAAAGGGCCTTTACCCGATATAGGCCTCAGGCCTTGTAAAAATAGAGCAGCACGGGCCTTGTAAAAGTAAAGCATTGTGAAAAGGTATCTTGCCAGGGCTCAGAAACGTGAAAACAGGTCAAAAGTCAAGTTCTCTATCAACAGGCACATCTAGATCTACGGCAAAGGGCATTGTCAAAAGACTTACCTGTTCACCAGGAGATGTGTATGTCATGTCTGTTCGAGTAAGGGTGTGTCTGTACGTGTAGGCAGTGTACCTGTTCGTGCAATGGAAAGTGCCTGTTCAAGTAGTAAATGTGTCTGTTCGTTTAGAGTTGTGCATGTCCAAAAGTGAAGTCAGTAGGCACAGTCCCAGTTCTGGTCTAAGTCAAGGGGTCAGTCCAGATCCAGACTTTCAAGTCCAAATCCAGGCCGAAGTGCCTCAGCAGCAGTTGAATCTCATTGGGACTGTACTGGGACACATGCAATGCAGGGTCTGGGACAAAGGGAGAGGCTGAATTGAGCCAATGCAGACCCAGCGAGGAGTGGCCAGCACTATAAAAAGAGCTGCCTGCCTCATTCCTCGCCAGATCTCCACTGGTTGCAATGCGTGGAAGTGCTGGTGCACTTGTGCGCTGAGTCAGGAGGAGCAGCGCTGGAGGAGAAGACGCGCTGGAGGGAGGAAGATGCCTGTACGCTGGAAGTGATGCAGCCATAGCTGCCCAGCGAGTTAGCATTAGTAGTAGAGGGTTAGTATGTAGCTATGAGTAGTATCCAGAGTAGATCCTCGTGAGTATTGAAGAGTGTGTATGCATCATAGGAGGAAGGGATTGAGGCTGAGAGTGTTTATTAAAGGTTGGCTATGGAAGATACTTACCTGAGTTGGATGTGACCTGCAGAGGTGGCGCTGATGAGTGGTGACCACATTGATGACTTGGAGACTATCTGCAGGGGTAGCACTGATTCACTGGAAGGCATATTGATGAGTTGGCAAGATGTTGCGCTGATGAGCGCTGGACTCAGGGGAACTTTGAAACACTTTGTATTCATATTTCTGATAATATAAACTGTGAAACTCGGTCCTCATCTTCTCTATCTTTGTCTATTGTCAGACTACTGTTCATTGTGTGTGGGAGTACAATGCATGGCATGTACACACTTGCGTGAGATGGTCCCCAGGACCCATGCAATTTTTGGTATCGGAGCAGATGCTCGCTACACTCGTAGCGCTGGTCTTATCAAGGCCGGCGAGAAGAAGTGGTGATGGAGGTATAGTGAAGGAGGGAGGAAGAGAAGAAGAGTTTTGTAGTGGGGGGAAGCAGGTCGAAGAGGAAGTGACGAAGTTACTTACCTGGAGCGTGCGGAGCGTCGTGGAGCATCATCGGCGGTATCTTCAAAAARAGAGAAGCACCTCCTTTCCCTGAACCTGCATGCATGTGTGTGTCCCCTACCTTCTCTCTCTCTGACCCTCTGAGGGTGACTGCTTCTGATCTGGTCAGGAGTCGAAGTCTGGATCTGGGGTGTCATAGCTGTCAGGTCTGAGCAGTCAGAGTCTGACGACCCAAGTGTGATGTGTCAGGAACTGGTCACACTAGAGTAGGTGGTCCAGTGTCCTGCGAATAGGAGTAGGTATCTCTCCTATCCCTCTTGTTAGGCAGGATGGGTATCGTCATTAAGAACCAAGGATCGATGTGGGAAGGGCTATGAGCCACGTCAGATAGCATGAACCAGGCAGCATAAGGATTATATTGAGCATCTGCAGGGCCTGTCAAGCCCGAAAACAAGAACAGGGTATACGAAGTATCTCTGCCTGGTTGGAGAAGTGAACCAATTGCATCTGACCTTCTGCGCTATACTCCATATCTGCACCCAGCAACCAGCCAAGTTAGTACCAACAAAAAAAAAAGAAAAAAAAAAGAGAAAGCAAGACAACAGAAACACATTACCAAAAGTTCGATCCAGGAGGCCAGATAGCACATCAAAAAAAAAAAAAAGGACATATTCAAAGTTCATTGCAGGTTGAGCTATTGTTGATAGTACGCAGCACCTTCTACAGTCGAAAAGGGAAAGAGGCAGTATAGTACTCCATTACCGCAAGTCAAAACTAAGTCTGTAAGTRGGATAGTATCTTGGTGATCCGGTGGAGGGTCTCCTGTGCCGGCAGTCATCATGGATCACTATCCCATTCAGGGCCTGTTGGCCCTCTCTGTCTTGTGGGGCCCACTGTTCAGGTTCATATTCCCACTGGGGTTCAGACGCGTGTGTACGTCCCGCATGATGATGCGATCAGGAGCAGTGAAGCCAGGGCCCACACCTGCTGAGCAGGCAGAGATTGACCGCCGGCAGGCAGAAAAGAAGAAAGAAAGAGAAGAAAGAAAGAAGAAGAAAGAAGAAGAGTTAAAGAAAAAAACCCAGTTAGAAGAAGAGGAGATGAAGAGGAAGTTAAAGGAAAAGTGGGAACAAGAAATAAAGGATGAACTGCAGACTATTGAGGAAGAAGAAGAAGCCTCTGAAGAAGGGGAAGAGAGACTTATCAGGCGGCGTGCAGAAAGTGGGGAGACAAGTGAGGTCCGGGGAGAAGTATTTGTCAAGCCATTGGACTGGTATGACTAGTATTCTTATTCCAGTGACAAGTTAGAAGAGACAGAAGAAGAACGAGACACATTCATAGCAAGGCTAGCACTAGTAACAGATCAAAGGGAGAGAGAACTGATGCTGGAAGAAAAACACACTGAACTACATAGCAAGATGCTGGCGACAAAGCGCAAAGAGCTTGATGATAGAAAGAAGTTGCAAGCAGAGGGGGCGAGGTTACACAGCGAGCTGCAGGCACAAAAGGTAAAACAAGCGGCTACTGAAGAAAAACTYGCCCTCCTAACTGAAACAGTTCTCCATACGAAACAGGAAGTTGCTGCAATCAATAGGACCTTGCAGAAAGTTGAAACAAATCAACTGGAATTTGAAAATGTATGGAACACTTTTTTGCAGAAGTCCGCCAAGGACGTAGATCTGCACATTCAGTCCTATATCAACAAACTGGATGATCATCTCACTTGAACCTTCACTCCCGCCGTGATTGAGAGAATAGTGCAGGGCAGCGGCGGAGGAGGAGGTGGTGACGGAGACGGGGATGGAGGCGATGGAGATAAGAAAGGAAGGGGAAGACAGCGAGAAGAAGGAGCAGGGACCAGCAACAAAATTAAAGTTAAAATTCCATGGACGTACACCGGCAAAAAGGAAGAAAGCGTGTTGCATTGGATGGCGGCTGTAGAGTCCTATGTCTACGGACAACGGATTCCTTATTGGGATAGGGTGTTGATGGCCACTTTGTGTATGGCCGATGACGCAATGAGTTTTGCAATCTCGTTACAAAAAGAAGCAGGGTGTAGTTCAATGGTAGAGTTTTCGCAGCAAACCCGTATTGAAGACTTTCTCAAAGTCGTCAGGGAGAGGTTCGAAGATAAAAATCTCGACCGAATAATAGAATGTTAATCTTGAACCTTCCTGACAGGAAGTGGAAAAGCACGTCGGCACTAAAAGCTACCATGGATGAGTTGTTACAGTGCACCGAGCATGGGTTAACCCCGGCTCAGATTTTGAACAGTTTTGCTCGCGCCTTACCTGATCCCGTCCGAACTCAGTTATGGGGATGACCTATGAAAAATTTAGTAAGGTTGCATTAGATCATGCAGGATTTCTGGCTGAAGCCAACTATTGCCACTATTGGAAAGATCTGCAAGCGGGCAAAAGATGGCAAAACCGCACCATCTCAGGATCAATACCTGGGAAAGACAACCTCCTTCTGACCTTTGAAGAAGGAGGTGTCGAATCACTTTCTTGGGACCAAATAGATTACGGTCTCGATGAACCCAACAGACCGGTAGCTCAGGAGGGGAGTTACGCGGCTGTTGC